TTTGGACAAGTTACTTAAATTGTCTGTGCCTTGGCTTCTTCATCTGTAAAATGGGACTGGGTAATAGTCAAGCCTAATGATTCTCATCTCCTGGTACCATTTTCAGGATTAGAAATCGTGTGTGTGTGTGTGTGTGTGTGTGTGTGTGTGTGTGTGTGTGTCTAGTCTTTGGCATATGGTTCAATAAATGGCCATTTTTATTATATGGTAAATGCCAGGTGATGTGATACCCCTGCTTTCTCCTTATCCACCCTTCCAACCCCCATCCCATCCACAGCTACTTCAATGAGGTTACATCTTCAATATGCAGCGTTGACTCTGCCCTCATCACCCAGGAAGCAATTCTCAGGAGGTAACACTGACAACCTGGTAAATAATCACAGATGACTGGAATCCCAATATTGCTTAATGGCCTAGAAATGGAGCTCCCAGCTTTCATTTTCCTAATAGAGTGACCAGAATATGAGCAGCCTGGAAGAGGTAGATAGAGATGAGAGAGACACAAACACTGCCTGGCTCAGCCAGGCCAATGGGGAAGGCTGGGAACAGACAACCCCTCTCTACCCCAGCCCCAGCCTTCCCCCAGCACTCATTTTTGTATCCTATAGACAAGAGAATCTGGGGACAGGCCAGTAATTCAATTCCATCAGCATTTACTGAGTACCAACTATATGCCAGGCACTGGGCATATGGAGATGAGTGGGCATCTAAGGCACAGTCCTCGCCTTCATTTCCCTGTTGTTACCCATGGTTTAGGAGTGCCCTTGACTCTCATTCTCCCTTCTCATCTGCCCATCTATTCCAGGTACTATATTTTTATAACTTACTCTTAAGACAAATGTGTAGTAGTGACTTCAACTAATTTGGCATTCTCCAGGTGGCCTGACAAGTGTTTAGAAATTGCCTGAGTTGTTCGCAATGCAAGAGAGATCCCAAGTTCTGTAAGATAAGAATGTATTAAAAGAATGGCAAATTCCACTGTCTTTTAGCAGGTGGGAAAGTACAATAATGTCCATGTCTCTCGGTCCCAGCATTTCCTTCTGCCTTCAACAACCCACTACTAGTTTCACTGAATTAATGAATAGGTGAGTGAATGAGTGAACAAACTAGCCAATTAATGAAGAAATCAGCTGGAACTCTGATCCACTCTCTACACATCAAACCATGCTATGCTGACAGTTAAAGTGGCATGCCTTCTTTACCACAGAGAGAAGTATCAGGATGGACACATGGGGCCCCTGTCCCCTTCAACTCACATGTGAAGCCCCACTTTTGAGAGTAAACATTTGCCTGATTATGCCCCTCCCTGAGCTCATCCCACACTGTCTCACGGGGACTAAAGGAACCTGCAACCACAGAGCCTTAGAACCATGGGGCCCTTGGGGTTTGTGAAGTAACTGACAGAATGGGGAAAAGTGAGTCAAAGAAGGAACCTGGAGCCAGGAGATGTGGGCTCAAGTACTGGATCTAGTGCCTACTAGCAATTCATGTGCCCTCTCTGATTCTCAGTTTCTTCATCTGTAAAATGAGGCTAACAAGGTCTTTACTATGGCATTATGAGGACAAGATGAGGCAATGAACATAAATGCACTTTCTGAACCATGCACACCCTCAATTTATAGGCCAAAGAATATGAAAGTTTAGGAGGTCACAGGTCACAGGCAGAATGTGGTTGCCCAGGCCCCCCAACTAGTCATCTCTTAGCAAAGGTCAGTAAGAGTAGGTCTTACACTGAGCCAGCTGACTGACACCTCAGCACCCACTTCCCTCCTGTCAGCACTGAGAGCTGAGAAGTTGTGCAGCTTCAGCCCCGAGGCACTGTGTCATGCTCCAGCACCTGTCATTCCTCCTGTGCACAGGGGAAAATAGGAGGTGACACCTGGAGATGAGGTGGGAAGGAAGAGCTGTCAGCAGGGACTGCTGTGGGTGCAGGTGTCAGGAAGACAAAGGAGGATACCGGGTGGCCTGGAAAGGAGGCTGCACAGGGCAGGGGTCAAAACACCAGCCCTGGATCAAAGGGCACCATTCTGACTCCTGCATCTGCCATTAAGAGGCAGGAGAGATCTTAGACGAATAACTTACCCTCTTCGAGTACCAGATGACTCATCTCTAAAGTCCGCTTGCCTGCCTCCCTGGTTGGTATCATATGTCATTGAATCTACAACCCCAACAATTGTATGATGCCCCATAATTTTATGTAGCACTAAGAAAGAAAAACATGCTGTCAATTAAACTATATCATGCCATTATTGTAAGACACAGGCTGATTTCAGCAGTGTTCCAGCATGAAAAACGTGCATCTTAGAGCCACACAGTGTGGTAGATGAGAGCACCATGTGACTGTAAGACTAAATATGATCATCCATTCCTGTGGGATAGAACCGCAACCCTCAGCCCCTCAGCGGGTATCTCAAGAGGACCAAGCTCTTTGCCTGGAGCACATTCACCCGTGAATTGAGGAGAGAGCAAGGGAATGGTCCCTGCTGGGAAGAGGGCTAAGCAGCGGGTCTGGAGGAGGAACAGGAGCAAAGTCCTGTGAGTTCAGGTGGAAATCAGGGGCCTGCAAAGGCAATCCACAAAGCCAGGGACACCTGAAGATCCACTAAGAAGGGAAGATGTGAGGGATGGGAAAAAGAGCACAGAGAGGACAACTGACTCAGCCAAGCTCAGCACCTGCACCGACTCTTGAACACCCTCTGGACATGCATGCAAGGACCCAGGGGCCCTTCTTGGTTGTGCTGACCAAAGAACCCTACGGGTCCCTATGAATCTGCTGCTTCAACAACCATGTAGCAACCGTTATTTGCAGAGAGATTAACATCTACTGTAAGTCTTCTCTCATGCAGTCAAACAGTCCAGTTTCTCCACCTCCTCTCAGCCATCATAGTTCTCAGACCCCACACTAGAACAGCTGTATTCTCCTTCAGAAGTACTTCTTCAACCTTGTAAAATGCCTCGTAAAATGCGACATCCAAAAGACATACATTGGAGCATCTTTAATAATTATTTATCACAGCAAAAAACAGAAAGAATCCAAGTGTCAAGTAATTGCAGAAATGAGAAGCAAGATGTGTACATCTACTTAACAAACTGCTGATCAATCATTATAGATTTTTACCAAAATATGCAATAACATGTAATGTGCTCATACTATATTAGGAAAAAGCAGCAAAATTACAAGCCCTTAAAAGACAGCTTGCTTGGCATTGAAGGCCTGGAAAGAAATACCCCAAAATAATCTGGAATTTTTCTGAATCAGTGAATTATTTTTTTTCTTCTTTTGATTTTTCTGTATTTTCCATATTTCTTTAATGAACATATAATCATTTAAATAAAAATAAATGGACTAGACAAGAAATTTCAAATGGATTCTGCCACATACAGAGCTGAGCAGGACCAAGAATTTACATAAACTTATTATATATACATTACAATACTTTTCTTCTTTTTGTTTTTTATTCTTCTGTAGTGACTTGTACACTTTTCTTCTAGATAGAATCATAACATTTCTAAATGATTCAGATTCTCATACAGGCCTCTTCTAACACAGCACATATTATTTATTTTAGGGACATTTAAAACATTACCCAATATACTTCTGTAATACTATGCAGAAACTATATCTTCATATACTAACTCATATTTAAAATGTAGTAGAATTTTCTTTTAGAAAAAATAACCTCCAGAAAATTCTTTTGTAAGGCAACAGATATTTTTAAACATGAATAGTCATCCCTGTCTATTTATCCATTTCCCATATTGAGGGGCTGGCTGCTTACATGCTTACGTGCTTCCATTTACATATTCCAGTCCATTACATCTTCAGTGTTTTCTCTTTCATGTAATCCCAATGGTGTAAAGGTTAAAAAATAAGAATATTTTGTCTATTCCACAAGACAAAAAACAGATGCAATCATTCCCAAGCCCTTACCCTTCCTTCTAAGAGACTTTACCTACCTTCGCCATTCCTCTGACTCCTCCCTGGAAAACAATTCCTCTTTTCTCCTCTCTCCTTTTGGTCAATCACGTAGTAGCTAATATTTCCCCTTCCCTGTCATTCTAAGTCACTCTCTTCTTTTCTTCATGGGTTTGAACTCTGTCTGCCAAGTAGTTGGGTAAGGGAATTTCCAGACCACATCACTCGCTGCCACATCTACACAGGACCACTCCCCAGTGCCCAACCCTGCAGGCACCGAGAGCTACCTGACACAAAGACCAACAGGAAGCCACAAAAGCCCAGGAAGGCCTGCCCATCACACCATTCCCAAGGCCAACACATTTGCTGCCAACAGCACTCGGTCAACCCAACGTCCTCATACTATATTCATTTCCAAAAGAATATTTATCAAATATTTAACTAAATGTACTGCCATCATATATGCTGCAGTGACACTGGGTCAATCCCAATGTGCTATGGCCATATTAATTTCCACAAATGATTTATCCAACATTTTAATATGATTTGATTTTATACTATTAATAAACCTGCAAATCATAAAAAATTCTGTTATCAGAACACAAGTCTCAATCATCAGTTCAGAAAATATGGCTGGGGTCTTCTCCAACACCCCAAAGAAGCTGCATTTGACTGCATCTTTTGGCCCATCTAGGAGGTGCCTCCCAGGCTGGGGTAAACTGCTTGCTTTGGTGAAAAGGCTTATTGGGAAAAGTCACCCTCCCCAGAGAAGTGGGTGTTTAGCCACTGAGCCAAGCACAGAATGGAAAACCAGAAGTGGCAGCTTTCAGACCTGGCTGAGAGTCCCACGGCCTCTGCTTAACACCACAAGCATCTCCATACAGTACTCATCCTGCTCTTGAGGTAGCTGACCTATGGTCCAGCACCCTGGGGAATCTTAGCCCCGAACTTTTTCTTCTGCCCCTACTCTACAGATTGCTGTCTTCCCACCCCAGGTTCCCTGCCCCCAGTCACTTCATGACACCAACCCCCTTCACACACACACACACACACACACACACACAGAGACAGAAAGTGGACTTACCCACTGAGGACCACGATGAAGTCCATGACATTCCAGCCATTGCGGAGATATGAACCCTTATGGAAGATGAACCCCAGGGCCACAATTTTGATCCCAGCTTCAAAGCAAAAAATCCCAATGAAATAAGGTTCTGTCTTTTCCTGTGGGGATGAGGAGCAGAAACACCAGTGAGAAGAGGACTGTGCTTTATGAGACACAGGTAAAGGCACAGCCTGGCCCTTCCTGGATGTCTGTGCTGGGTCTGCCCATGTGTAGGTGGGAAGCAAGGGTGCTAAGGGACCCTTGCAGGCTGTCTGTGACTCAGGAGTTCACGGGGCAAGGGGGAACCAGCTGTAGAAATGGACGATGTAAGGGTCACACCTAGGGGATAGACTTCCTTCCCAGGAAGGTCCCTGATGGCCCTGGCTTTGCCCTGAAGGAGTTTGCTGTTCTTCACATAAGTTAGAAGCTTGAAGGTCGTCATCTCATGTACACACGTGGATTTTAGGCAATTTGTCTGTTCTTTTTAGGGGGAATACGTTAGATGTGTGACTCATTTTTTTAAGGAGAATAAGGACGTAAGCATTGGGAAGTTCATAACCACAAATACACACAAGCACTGAGCATCCTTCATCATCTCCCCTCTACTCCCCACCTCTTCCTCTCGTGTCAGAAGCCCCTTAGGAAAGAGGAGGGAAGAAAATGGGCCTGTGCCTGCCCTTTCTTCTTCCCTGGCTGCCACGCAGCACAGACACGGTGTCTGTAACCTCTTATTTTCTGTGTGAATCCCCATGGGGTCTTTCATTAACTTGTCCCCCAGCAAAGAGCAAACCCCTCTCAGAACTCACAGGCAGGAAGGGAATGGGAGAGTGATAAAGCAGAGGAGAAGAAACCAAGAAAGACAAAAGGGGGAAAGGTGAGAAGGAGGGGAAGCACATACCAGTCTTCGGGACATGGGGGTCTTGTCATCCTCAGGAAGATGCTGCTCCAGGGCCAGGACGATGCAGTTGGCAATGATGGTGGCCAGGATCATGTACTCAAATGGCGTGGGAAAGTGGAGTTAAGGAACAAATTCACCAGAGAGGGGCACAGCCTCCAAGATGGCCATGCCCATAAACACACAAGCTCTATCAATCCGCATTTTGTCTGTGCAGTTTGCATGATTTTTATTTGTAAACAGGCAGGCAGGACAGAGGATGGTCCTTAGCATGTGAAACCAAAAACATTTTTGCCTGGTCTCTGAACACAAAGCATCTTCTCCATAAAAACAACGTATGTAGCCAATACATAATATAGTTGGGCATATGACAGACACTCCAGCTACTGAGTGAATTCAATAACAAATCTAGTAACCAAGGCTGAAAATGGAAGGGGGAAGAAAGAAGGAAGTCACATAATTAATGCCATAGCAGACCCCCTGTTCTCCCCAGTCTTCAAACCATTGGACTGGGTAACAACGCTTGTGCACAGATCCAGATGCTGCAATCTGTTGCTCTCCTGGGCTCACAACTGGAGTCCCCTCTTCCAGAATCTCTGCACCACTGAGTAACAGAAGAGCCCCTGGAAAAGAAACAATTCTCTCCATGTGAGCTTCCTTCTATTTTAAAATTCCTCTCAGCAATGTACTTCTGGGGGAAAGAGAGGCTTGCTTTGTTCCACCTTATTTTCTCCTAAGCGTCTGCATCTATACGAAACAGAGACTGATCACAAATCTGAATCCTGGACAGCAAAGTCCAGTCCTGTAAGAACCACACTACAATGAATGAATGCAGGCTTTTTTCTGTTAGATGTTTTTGAAAACAGGTGAGGTGCTCCCTGTGCCTTTTTAAAAACAGGACTACGACTCGGGTGCCAGCATCCTGACCCCTGCAGGAAGGTTTTGCCACACGCTCCAAGGGATGTGGGAAGGACTGCCAGAAGAGAAAGAGGGAATCACCAGCTCCCAGTACTGTCATTCTGCATGCTGGGATTTCATTCTGTGATTACTGTTAGGACAAACACAAGTTAGCTACTGCAACTGCTCTTGCTGAGCAACCTGTGCTCTAGAAGATTCTGGAATCCAGGCAGAAGAGAGGAGCAATAGATCTGGCAAAGTGGACGGAAGGAAAGGGGCTGTTCTTATCTCCACACATACCCAGACAGGCTGTGTAGGGTGCAGGGCCTGGAACCCTCTCGTGGAGTTCAGGAGGGCAAATCACAGCTATCCCTGCAATGGCCCCCATCCTGCCAGGCTATCTGTGGCAATAACACAATGTTAAGGTGGCACCCAGGGCATCTCTGGGGAGGGCAGGGCAGAGGGCTTGGGGCAGTGTGTGCAATGAGATGTGAGCTGCTCACCAGTTGTTCTGCTCTGGGTGCTGGCATGCAGGGCTGCAGGGCTGAGATGCTGGCTGTGTGTGAGCCCCGAGTCCTTCTCTTAATCCTCATTTGGCAGTGCCTTCTCCTCCCCCACCACCATGCATCCCTGAGTCACACTGGAGAGTCACACTCACTCGCCAGCAGCTGACCGCCATCCTTCCTTCCCACACACTTTCAACACTCACACAGCATACAGACACCAGAGACCACTCCACGGGCCTCTGCTGCCCTGAGGCTCAGCCACTGGAACTAAAAACAGACCCGGCCTCAGGAGACCTCAGAGCCTGTCCACTGCCTCCACACCCCACTGCGCCTGCTTAAACCCTCCTACTCAGACAGGAGCCTCCCCACATGGAAAGTCCCTCAGCACCCATGGGCATTCCTCCTCCTTCAAACACTCTGGGCGCCAAGCCCCTGAGAGCCAAACATGCCAGCAGACACACACCACAGACGCCCACCTAGCTAGCATGCCCACCTTCTAAGGACTGGCCCTCCAACACACAGCCTGCCCTGGGCCACCCATGCCCACTGATCGAAGTGGGAGTGCTCCTCCCCTCCCATCATGGCTGTAACCCAGACCTCTGAACAAACAAACATGGAGCAATCAGGGACCACACCAGGACCGAGTGTCCCATAAGCCTTCTGAACAGCCTAGGTTGCCCTGGGCCTGGCACAGGCACCCAGAATCCCAGACTCATCCTGCAAATTAAAGATGGGAACCCGGGAGCAATGGTGGCCAAGGAATTCATACCCTTTCCTGAAAACATGCTTGGGTGATGGGGCCAGATAGGGAACTGACAACACACATACAAGTCACTGATGAAAGACAACAGAAGTTGAGAGTGTTGAGAGTGGTGTTCCTAAAATGCAGGCCATGAAATATTGGTGCTATAGGAACTTGCAATCAAACCAATGAGAGAAAGCCTGGGTTGGGTAAAGTTAAGGTTTCTCCCCAGCAGGACTTTTTGGGGCCTTTAATACTTTTGCACACAGTGGGCACACACTCCATCCCACACACAAACACACACACACAGGGGGTTTGGGACAGCACACAACATTTCCCAAACTTGCTTCACCTTGTAAATCTTTTTTTCAGAGCATCTCTCTTGAACGGTGTTCCCAGGAACATAGCTGGGCAGCCTGACACAAAGTGGGGGTTTCTCTGCCAGTCCCCAAGAGCTGGGGGAGGAGGCTGATGGCTCTGACTGGAGTGAAACCAGGGTCTCTTCCATGTCATTCCCTGTCCTTGTTCCCAACAGAAGTGTTCACAATAGCGTGGGGCTCACCTGGTCACTCCCCACAGCTGGAAATGTCTCATGCAATTTCAGACACCTGCTCAGCAGATCCAAGAAGCCCAGTGCCTGCCCTGAGAGGTAGGACTGGGCACGAGTACTTTCTCCTTCAAGCTGCAGACCTCTTGCATTCTCATGGGTCTATGTGGCGTCTATGATTGTTTGAGGGGGGGTTGAATCTTCTTCCCCTGAAAGCCTGAAAGTGATAAGCACAGGCTTAAAAGCAGATGGGTTCTCAGTGCTGAACTTGCAGGCAAGACAGGTCCTGGCAGCCATGTGCCTCCAAGGCCTTCCCACTCACAATATCCGTTTGGACCATGGCAGCTCCTCCACTGCCCATGACTCCCCACTCACAATATCCACTTGGACCATGGCAGCTCCTCCACTGCCCCTGGCTCCCTGCTTCCACGTTCATACCTGCATTTTCCTAGCCAATTAACCCAAGTATATTGCTCCCTGTAAGCACCTTTAAGCTTAACTAGCCCAGAATGTCCAAGTGCAGATATGTGAGGTTTGTGGGGACACAGGTTAGCTCAGGAAGGTGTAGCCATCACCATTGCAAGATGCTCCAGGCAGGGGAATGGCTCTTGGCCCAGGTGCTGATTAGTAAAACTCCCAGTGACTGGCCAAGTATCTGGGTGGCTGAGAATTCATGAGGTATTGATGGCTGGTGCTACCCAAGGCCCTAAAGTCTAGAATCTAAAGGTGGGAGTTTGGTAATTCACAGGTTCTGAGAAGACCCTATTCCCACTTCCTCTCTAGCCAAATCCTCTGCCTACTAACTGATGTGAGGCCCATTCAGAGCAGCAACCTTCTGGCTTACAAAAAAATTTTTTTTTTTTTGCTTTACATTTTAAAAACTGTTCAGATATATATGCCCTTGAGAGGGATGTCCCTTTCGGCCTTATAGGGCATCTAGACCTCAGAATGAATTCATGGCTGCAGTAACGAAGAACCTGTGGTGAGAATGTGGAGATTCTGTGTAACTGTGGGCTAGGTGAAAGAATGGATAGCAGCAGGGAAATCTCAGGGGAGGTGAGCAGAAGAGACCATCCAATTCTGCCTAGGCCCCAGCCACTCTCTCTTATAGCCCTGTTCTTCAACCTCTTTTCCACTTCCCTTTCTGAAGAAAGCACAAAGAAGAGGCATTTACATCTAGGTGATTCTGCCACCACCTGCAATGGCCTTTCTTCTCCTTTCTGGTCATACATCAAGACCAAGCTGGACTGCCACCTTGTCAGTGAAAGTTTCTCCCCCTGCCCCACAGGTCTTTGAATTGTGTGACTGTATTATTTCTTCTCCTATTTAAATCAGGAAACTGTATCTTGAAAGCAGGAGTTTTGCTCATCTCTCTACTGGCAGTGCTTAGCAGAGCCCATGGTACACAGTGGGAGCTTAGTCAATGTTCAATGCAGGTAGGAATGAACAAGAGGCATTCACTGAGGAGCCACTGTAAAGACAGGGCTTTGCTCACCCACTCTGGCCCAGGCCAGGGCTCCTGCTCACTCCCACTGTTGCAGGCTGCCTCTGAGGCGCCACTCCCATTTCTTCACGACAGCAAAACTTCACACCCCAAAGCAATGGCTCTGCTACATCCCCAAAGAGAAGAGCCAAAACAGCAAGTAACACCCACCCACCAGTCAAGCTAGTGCACCTCAACCTGGCAGACTGGACAAAGACATGACTTGGAAAGGTCAAAGGGAGCTCCGAGTCACCACGGCCTCAAAGACCAACACCCTTCACGGCAACCACAATCAGGGAAAAGATGGAAGTCTGTCCAGGTCTCCGACTCTTTCTGTTCTGGAATTCAGTGACACTCATTACAGTCTGTGACTGATACCGAGGATATTTTAGGGAAGACTATCTATCCCTGGTGTCCAGATTGCTTTTGTTTTGAAATCTTGAACAAATGGAGCTGATGGGGCAGTGAGGACTGGGAGTCCCAGGGCAGGACCTTGCCTGTCTCACTTACCACTGTGCTTGGCCCACAGTGGGGCCCTGGTAACTGTTATTTTTTTAATAAATTAATACTCAAGTGATAAATGAATCGTATAGGGAAACTAGAGCCAGAGGTATCCTTACGAAAGGTACCCACACTCTCCGCACTGCATACCCATTTGAACTTTTTGTACTGTCCACTGTAGACACACATGATCTATTTTAAAAAGAAAATAAACCAGCATACGTGGAAGATCCCTTTCATGTTTAAAAAAAAAAAAAAAAAAAAAGAGAGAGAGAGAGAGAGAAGGCTGGGTGCGGTGGCTCACGCCTGTAATCCCAGCACTTTGGGAAGCCAAGGCGGGCAGATCATGAGGTCAGGAGATCGAGACCATCCTGGTTAACACGGTGAAACCCCATCTCTACTAAAAAAATACAAAAAATTAGCCAGGCATGGT